ATATATATATATATATATATATTGTTATATCCGGTTAAATAAATTGATTATTATTTATATTCGTATCTGTACTTGATCAAATCAGACACTCTATTAAAATTAAAATGAGTTCAGTTATTGTTCATGAATATGAATTTATTTGATAACCCTAACATAACAAAAGAAAAAAACAAATAAGCCAACTATTAAAAAGGCTAAAGTTATATCTTTAATTCCTTAAATTCATTTATAACTTCACTTTAACCTCCTAATTATTAAAAGTTTTAATATGGTCCCTTGATTCCCTTGGTAATATTTAAAACTTTGAAGGAATTATTTCTTAAGTTACAATTTTTACCAAATTTTTGAAAAAATACAATTATAAGCAAGTCTTATTATTTATAGTCCCTTAGGTATTCCTTTCCACCGGGTAAACTTATTCAACAATCTCTTTGGCCCTCCTCTCTCTATATATAATTGTTTTGTGAGACTCGGTTTTCACTGCCAAGAGTTTTCCACCGCTAAGAGTTTCGCTTCTTCGGAGTTATCCTCTCTTGCGTAAGCGAACACGGTGTTCTTCTGGTCATAGGTGGTGGTGGCCGAGGACGAAGGTTCCACAGGGAGGTGCTCATGCATTGCTTTTCCTTTTTTTTTTCCTCCATTTTCTGGTTTTTAATTTGATTTTTTTTCTTTCTGGTTGTTGTTTGTCTTTCTTACTCGCTAGGTTTCTTCTCTTTGTTCTTCACTCTTGGTGACCTTGTGCCCATGAAAGGTAGAAATTAAGGTCATGTTATGCGCTTCTCTGCATTTTAATTTATTGTTTCATTTCTTTTTGATTCTGGTTTCTTTTCTCTCTAATTCTTGTTTTTCTTTGTTATCTCGCTAAGATTCTTCTCTTTGTTCTTCACTCTGGTGACCTCGTGCCGATGGAAGGTAGGAATCAAAGTGATGGTATGCACTTCTCTGCTTTTCAATTTCTAGTTTCATTTTTTTATTCTTGTTTCATTTATTTTTGATTCTTGTTTTTCTTTGTTACTCGTCAAGTTAAGTGAGAAGTTTGCTCCACAAGCCTCTTAACTAGCTTGGACGGTCAAGCAACTCAACCATGATTCCTAGTGAACCATGGTTAAGGTTAGCTTGCTCCCAAAGCTACCTACTTCTATAAAATCCTAAATCCTTCCATTGTATTATGAAAATTCTCTCTCAATTCAAGAGTCCAAACCGTGGAGAATTCTCCCTCTCCTAAGAACTTCACAAAGGAATTTCTCCTTTGTGCCTGAATTGATGATAGACAGCTGTTCCGACTCAGATGCATCATATCTGAATCTCTCTCCTAGTCATGAGCCCATCATCAAAAGAGGATAGTAATGGGAATCTACTTTTTCGTATTATCCGCCCTCAGTGTAAAATAAGTATGACAGCCTGTATAAGTTATGACCATGTAGGTCCCTTGTTTGTACTAGTTCTTATCATCTGAGTCATGATAGTTTGTCTAGTTGTGTGAGTCACACCCCACGAGGGTCCTTTACTGTATTTAGCTTTTAGGGAGCCAATCAGAATTGGCCTATGTGTAAAATGTTTGTTGTTTGTATGCCTCATGAGATTCCCTCCGAGTCTATATAAGGAGGCTCTCCTTCAGTTTGTAATCAAGTCGAGTTTGCAATAAAATTTCTTGTGTGCTCATTTCTCATGGATTACTAAATTGGTTAGGTAAAGATAAGGAGGTGTTTAGGAAGGCGGGTTGAGTGTCTGAAGTAGAAGTTTCCATGGTAGTAAAGTCTCTCTTCTACTCACTCTGTTCTCTAAAATAGTATTATGGCCTCAGTATTTGAGATTGTTAGGCTCTGATACCAATATGGCCGAGATCCTTAGGATTTATGGTTAATTTGGCTAATATAAGACAATTGCTGAAAAGAGTAGGCAAGGAATGCCGAAAGAGTAAGCTCGTTCTTGTATTCTGTCAAATTCATCATAGGTCTCTAAGGCTCTCGGCCATATTGGTATCACGTGTTCTTCTGTTAAGGACAATTAAGAAATTGAATGAAAAATTCCTACGTGATAATGACGTGGAGTATAACTCCGTTACTGATGCCTAATGAAACAAGTAAACTTTTTTTATTTTTTTAATCTACCATGTGGTGAATCACAACCCCAAATCCCAATATCAAATCCGACAATATGTGACCGCAAACCCCAAAACATCATAATATAGCATCGAAAAAAAAAAAAAAAAACCCTTACCTTCAAAAGTTACAACTTTGGTCACAGACGGTTGTTGCGTGTGTAACAACACTTAAATATGGAATGCGCGAAAGTTCCACTCTTTTGACCTTTGTACCAATATTAGCCAATTTGCTAGGGTTGCATTGTAACAACCCTAACAAAACAAATATGTAATTCATTAATCAAAACACATTCATCATTTCAATGGGCATTAGAGTTCTATTTTGGTCCTTTTTACCTATGAAAATCTTCTGGCCGACTTGTTAAAATACACAATTTAAATAGTTAAATTTAATATGTTTTTATTGATAATTAATTATAAACACCCACATTTCTCATGTTAATTAAA